ACCCAGAATTCCCTCTGCCTGATTAAAGCTCAGAAGGTTTTCCTAGCAGGAAAACCTGCATGGGCATTTCAGCCCATATGTTAAATCATGTCATATATTAAATGAAGAAATACTAGGGTGCAGAATATGCCAGTAGTTGCATTCCTTTAATATGGCTGGATAATGTATGAGAACCTATAACCATAGAAATGAAGTTATTTTCCAATTTTAAAAAATATATTTTATAATTGCCAAGGTTGTGGAAGGTAAATTTGCAGTACCTTGACATGCAGGTTATTAATGACCTACTTAGAAGCCAAGGACAGGATTTCCAGAAGTGGCAGTTACTGTGGGGAACCTCATTTTCCCAAGCATCCAGCTTGGAGTGTCCTTGGGGAACCTGGTGTTTGGAGCTGAGGGTTTGGTGACATCAGCAAACGAGGCTCTTCTTCTGGTGTCACTTGCTGGCTCTCCCCCACTACAGACAAGCCTGCAGAACCACTCCACATTTTGAACACATTTTGAACACATTTTGAACCACTCCACATTTTGAACACATTTTTACAGGCTGCCCAGGGAGGTTGTGGAGTCTCCTTCACTGGAGACATTCAAAACCCACCTGGATGCATTCCTATGTGATGTACTCTAGGTGACCCTGCTCTGGCAGGGGGGGTTGGACTAGATGATCTTTCGAGGTCCCTTCCAACCCCTATGATTCTATGATTCTATGATTCTATGATTCTATGATTCTATGATTCTATGATTCTATGATTCTATGATTCTATGATTCTATGATTCTATGATTCTATGATTCTATGAACTGCACTGTCCAGGCAGTCTGAAGGTTTCAGGGAACTTTTTCTCCAGCTGAACTGTTTTCAGAGTTGCCTTTTCTGAGCAGTGTGGGAGCAGTGACAATCCAGGCTGTGCAGAAGTGGGGCACTGTTGGGTTTTACTGTTACCTGTTGCAACAGAAGAGCTGATACAAACCTCTCTCTTGTTTTTTTTCTTCTCTCTCTCTCCCACTCCAGGTTTCCAGTGGCTATCTGGTTGTGGCTTTTGTTTATGTGACTGAATTTGTTGGCATTAAAGCACGAACCTGGGCTTCTATGCATGTCCATGCTTTTTTTGCTATGGGAATTATGATTGTGGCACTCGTGGGATTTCTGGTTCGGACCTGGTGGGTCTATCAGATATTTCTCTCCATAGCAACAATTCCCTTTGTCTTGTGTTGCTGGATGCTCCCAGAAACACCTTTTTGGCTCATCTCGGAGGAAAGATATGAAGATGCACAAAAAGTAATTAATATCATGGCAAGATGGAATAAAGTAAGCACTCCCTGCAAAGTTGCTGAACTGTGCTCAGTCCAACAAGAGGATCTAGTCAGAGACAGAACGGGTGACAATGACACGTCCTCAACAAAGAAGCACAACATCTTAGACCTGTTTTGTAACTGGCACATTGCAAGAAGGACCATCACAGTCTGGCTCATCTGGTTCACTGGGAGCTTGGGCTACTACGTCTTCTCCCTCAGTTCTGTCAGTCTAGGAGGCAATGAATACTTAAATCTCTTTCTCATAGGTAAATATATTTTTGTACTTCATTCTGTTTATGGCAGAACTAGAACGTGACATTTAGAAATGTCTATAGATTTGACAGCCAATTTTTAAACTTTGTTCTTTGAATTATTTCTTGCTGACTTCAAGTTTTCTAACACAGAGGTATCATTCAGTCCAAACTTCAGTGTTTAAAAAAAAAAAAAAAATAAATTAAAATATGTTAGTGTACAAGGTTCTTCCTGCCTGTCATTGTGATTGTAGAACCATATTCTACTTGTCTCATCTTTGCCTGCCAGCCTATAGCAGTTCCTCACAAACACCAAGAGAAGCAGACCCAGCAACATTAGACCTGTTTTGTAACTGGCACATTGCAAGAAGGACCATCACAGTCTGGCTCATCTGGTTCACTGGGAGCTTGGGCTACTACGTCTTCTCCCTCAGTTCTGTCAGTCTAGGAGGCAATGAATACTTAAATCTCTTTCTCATAGGTAAATATATTTTTGTACTTCATTCTGTTTATGGCAGAACTAGAACGTGACATTTAGAAATGTCTATAGATTTGACAGCCAATTTTTAAACTTTGTTCTTTGAATTATTTCTTGCTGACTTCAAGTTTTCTAACACAGAGGTATCATTCAGTCCAAACTTCAGTGTTTAAAAAAAAAAAAAAAAGATAAATTAAAATATGTTAGTGTACAAGGTTCTTCCTGCCTGTCATTGTGATTGTAGAACCATATTCTACTTGTCTCATCTTTGCCTGCCAGCCTATAGCAGTTCCTCACAAACACCAAGAGAAGCAGACCCAGCAACAGGGAATTCACACTCTGTTATAGGCACAAAATAAGGAAACAGGAGAAAAAACTATTCCTTTTATCACTTACAGTCATGATATATTTAGTCAGCTTGTGTAGCAAATAGATTCATAATTCTCAGAATCAAGAGTAACTTCAGTTTTTTCAAAAGTGTATTTTTAATTAATTGTGCTATGCTTTTAATTTCGTTGGCCTGACTGATCTTTCTCTGCTATGTGGGTTGTTTATAAAGGCAGCTCAGTGCATTCAGGGCCTCATCCAAAGTTTTTTAAAATCAGTGGGAATATTCCATCAACTTCAGAAGCCTCTGGATCAGACAGGGAGCTCTGAGCCAGCAGGGAATTAAATCATGCTCTGTGCTTCATGCAGCTGAGTGCTCCCAGTGCAGGGAGTGGGGCTGTTGAGGTGCACAGACACACAGGAGGGCTGGGGCTCTCATGACTTCAGTTGGTGATGTCATCTTTTATAGATGGAGAAGATTTAATAGACAGAGCTTTTATGGATAGACTGACCTGGTGCAGAGTGGCTGCTTTCTTGCACAGGTGACTGAACTGTTCCAGTGCAGCTCAGTGCTTAAGTCACCATGTCCACCTCTTCCAAAAATGTTTTAGCAGACTAACAAACACCGAGTAATTGCAACCTGCTTTTACCAACACAAGCCCAAAATACTGTTTCCCAATGTTATAAGGGTATTGACATACTGATTGTGCTTGGTAAAGGGGCACAGCAGATTTATTCAGGGCTCTATCTTATTTTCTTCCTTGATTTTACATTGGTCACATTAGCATTCCTCATGGGCAAGTTGGTTTAAAACATGTCTGAACTGGCTTGGGCTCAGTATCATTTGTTTAGGGGCAAATCATGTTTAAACAGGGTTTGTGAACAATCCTGGCCAAACACCAGTTCCTTCAGAGCTGCAGCAGTTTTTCTCTGGAAATAGACATTGGGAAGAGAAGATGTAAGAGCTGGGTGTTGGAAGCAGCTGCCCTCTAGTTAATGGAGGAGAGAGAAAGCTGGAGCTGCATTGTCTGTGTTTGTGGAGATGCCTCAGAGAGAACTGGTCCCAGGGAGCTTGCCCTCTCTGTTGGGGTGATGTGGGGCTGAAGCCAGGAGGTGCCTGTGGCCTTGGTGCTGTGTTCAGGTGGAAGCCCACAGCCCCTGGGCAGTGTGTTGGTGCAACACCAGCATCTTCCTTGTCAGCAACCTGCAGCGGCTGACATGACAAAACCAGAAGTGAAAGAGCAGCAAGTGGAAACTTTTCATGTCACCACAGCCTGAGTCAGAAACGCAGGACCATGGCCTTCCTGTTTTCTGTAATTTTCCACCCCAAAGAGAACTGGAGTTTCTGTGAAACCCATTTCCCTGGTGGTTCTCCATCCCCCACTACCATCTTGCAGGCCATGTTTTCTGCCTCCTCTTGCCATTTCTCTTGCAAAGTGAACTGGCCCCACACGCTGGGTATCTCTGGCTTTCACATATTAATTACCCCCTAGATTAAATTGATCCTCATGAAGAGGAAGTTAGTTATGACATGACTGTGTAATCATGACTGAAAATAATTTCATACTGACAGGTGCTGTGGAGTTGCCTTGCTATATCATTGCTTGCATTGGGATGGACAAACTGGGAAGGAGAAACACACTCATTCCGTTCCTTATTTTAAGTGCATTGATCTGTGTTTTAATTATGTTCATACCTCAGGTTAGTCACGTATCATTGAAAGTGTTCCTAAAGTAGAAATGGATTTTAAAGACTGTCTGTAGAGGCAGCTGCTTTTTCTAAATCATATAGTTGACTAAAGGCTGGTTTAAAAATGCAGCTGCCAGTCCAAGAGAGATTTCTGTATTTTCAGTCCAGGCTTCACAGTTTCATTGCTGGAGTCACATGTAAAATGTTCCCAGGGCTTCAGTGAACCAGGTTAAAAGTTCTGTGGATACTTATTGTTACTTATTGAGACTGATTTTAAAAAAGCAAACAATAAGCATTGCTCCTTGTTTAAAGAAGGGTCACAACTTTGAAAGGATTGAAATGGATTTTGGAACAGTGTTATTTTCTGGTGATTTATTTGTTTCTGCTTTCTTTCAATAGGATTTCAATATATTAATTATCTTAGCAAATATGGCTGGAAAATTTTCAATAGGTGTGGCATTTGGCCTTATATATCTCTACACAGCTGAACTGTACCCAACAATTGTAAGGTAAGAACTTTCACCAGTCATCTATTTTTCATTATTTTGCTGTTATTTCCTTTTCTTTGTGGTGCTCCTGGGCCAGATCCAGCAGCTCTTGGCATGTACTCTTGAGCACTGCATTCAGTTCTGGGCACCACAATATCAAAAGGACATTGAGCTATTGGAGGGTGTCCAGAGGAGAGCCACGAGCATTCCCTCTTGTTCTATCACCAGTTACTTGTTAGAAGAGTCCAGCACCCATCTCTTTACAACCTCCTCTCAGGCAGCTGTAGAGGGTGATGAGGTCTCCCCTCAGCCTCCTCTTCTCCAGGATCAACAGCCCCAGCTCCCTCAGCCTCTCCCTCTTGTTCTCAAGACCCTTCCTCAGCTTCGTTGCCCTTCTCTGGACACACTCCAGCCCCTCCATGTCTTTCTTGTATTGAGGTGCCCAAAACTGGACACAATATTTGATGTGTGGCCTTACCAGTGCCAAATACAGAGGGATGATCACCTTCCTGGTCTTGCTGGACACACTTTCTAATCCAGGCCAGGATGCCATTGACCTTCTTGGCCACCTGGGCACTCTGCTGACCCATATTCAGCTGCCTACCAATAGAACCCCCAGGTCCTTTCCTGCCAGACACTTTCCAGCCACACACTTTCCAGCCACACTTCCCCAAGCCTGTAGCTTTGCCTGGGGCTGATGTGGCCCAAGTGCAGGACCCAGCACTGGGCCTTGTTGAAGCCCAGACCAACCTGCTGGTGGTTGAGGTGTCTGTGCATTCACAACTGTCTGCCTTGGTTTATGTGCAGGTCACTTGCTGTTGGAAGTGGAAGCATGATGTGCCGTGTGGGAAGTGTGGTTGCTCCTTTCTGTGTGTATCTGAGAAGTGTTTGGATTTTCATGCCACTTGTAAGTATTTCTTTCAGTGGTGAATGTTTCTGGTTGTGAAGAGGCCCACGTGGCACTTGATTTCTCAGGAAACAAAAGCTGAACTTGTTTTTGCAAAGGACATTGAGAGAACTGTTCTTATTGAAAATTTGAAGTCGCAAAGATTAGTAGCTTCATATTGTTAAAAACAGGCAATTAAAGCAAAAGGGAGACTTGGAGTCACTGAAATCTTCTGAAATGTGTTTATGATGGAAGATGTAAAAATACTTACACCCTGAATTCTAGTATAAAATTGGTTTTTTAAAAATTCATTCAAATTTACCTTATTTACTGTGGGGTATTTAGGAAGTATCTCAGTCCATACTGCTTTATTCTGCAGGCCTGGCACTTCCTGACTATGCTTCTGATTTATTCTTTTCCTTTCCCCAAGGCATAGTCCTTCCACTTGAATTCACTGTGGGTGACTCTTTTTTTTCTTATATTATTCCTAAATCTTTTCCATGGCTTTCCTGGAACACTGCATCTTTGGAATACTTTTCCAAAAGATGAAGGATATCTTGTGCTTACTCTACTTGCTGTTCACAGCTGTCTCAAAGCTCCTTTTTGGTTTCTCATTTGCAAGAACTGAACAAACTGATTAATGAGACAGAGAAAGAGAAGCAAATGGTACATGGATGAGGTCCACAGTGACTTTGACAAGCAACAGAACCTTGGATTCATTAGGTACATCCTACTTGTAGGTGTCTCCAGGTCATGCTACCATTACTTTTTGTCTTCTACCACCAGTTGTCCCATGAGAAGAGAGATGGGACCATTCCTTCATGGGCTTTGGGCATTTTCTCTGCATTATGTAGCTTCAGATCCATTTAGGACAAAAGATTTTCTGTATTCCACATTTCTTTATTACACTTCAGTTAGGAGGCATTTGCTGCCTAGAAACCTTGCAGCAATTCAACCCTTTTTTTTTCTCCTGAAGGATAATGTATGCCCATATATGTCAAACCACAAGGAATTACAAAGTTTATAGTCAGGCTTTAAGTAGAGTTTATTAATGATTTACAAATAGTTTGAGTTCTTTCAAAACCCTTTAGAATTCACTGTAATGAGCCCAGTGATGTTATATGTAGGTTATTCATGTCAGAAGGTGAAAATATAATGGGACGTGTCTTCAACCTGGATTCCTGCTCTGATTTTGTCTGGCACACTGGAATTTCCTGAAAAAATGGCATTGTGTCCTTTTGATTTTGCAACTACAAAATCTTCAATTACAGATGCTAGAGATGGGTTCCAGAGAACTCTTGGGAACTTGTTTCATTATTTACATTAATTACTTTCAGTTGTTTTGCATGAAAGTGAAGAGGATGAAGGAGAACATGAATTAATTCCTTCCCTCAAGCTCCTAAGAAACATTTTCTTTCTTAATAACAGTCCCATACAGGCCAAGATATCATCCCAGAAAAGGCAAAGAAACATTTGCACAACAGAGTGTTCTTGGGAGAGCATTTTTTTTCTCTTGTCAGTGTTTTGCCTCTGCTGGCTGAGATAAGCTTTATCTGAGCAGAAGGGCTGCAGTGAACCCTCAAACGTGCTGAAGAGCAGTGCAAATGGCAGCATAAAAAGAGGAATTATTTGAGCTATGAACAACTCTCAGTGTACAGAGAGTATCCAGAGTGCTGGTAGAGCTGTGTAGTAGTTCACAGTGAGGATGTTTTCATTATTAGCTCCTCTGACAAAGAATGTGTGGGTTTATGGTGCAGGCTCGTGGTGCCAAGGCTGTGTTTGGGAATGAAAGGGAGATGAAATGGAGACATTTGTAAGTAAACTGGTCTCCATCACGTTGAGCTATTGTACACAGCAGGCACTGCTGAGCAGCTGCCACTGGTGCCACCTGGGAGCAGTGCAGGCACCTCATCATCTGCATGGAAAGCTTGAATAATTTGCCAAGGATGTTTTTCATATGACAACTTCCTAGAAAATCTACAGCAAAGCAACTGTTTCATGTATAACCTATTCCTGTTGCTCAGCTGCTAAGCTGTCTTGTTGGCTGGGATTCCATTCTCCTGCATTTCAGGTGTTCTGCTGGCCTGTGATCCTTCTCCAGGCCCAGGGCATCTGTGACTGGCACTGGCCTTAAACTGGTGGCAGTGGGATAGACTAAGGATCCCCTCCCTCAGCAACTCTAGTCTAAAGCCCTCTTTACTATGGCCAAAGATGTTCTTCCCTGTTTCTGAGATGAACCCCATCAGTCATTTGCACAACAGAGTGTTCTTGGGAGAGCATTTTTTTTCTCTTGTCAGTGTTTTGCCTCTGCTGGCTGAGATAAGCTTTATCTGAGCAGAAGGGCTGCAGTGAACCCTCAAACATGCTGAAGAGCAGTGCAAATGGCAGCATAAAAAGAGGAATTATTTGAGCTATGAACAACTCTCAGTGTACAGAGAGTATCCAGAGTGCTGGTAGAGCTGTGTAGTAGTTCACAGTGAGGATGTTTTCATTATTAGCTCCTCTGACAAAGAATGTGTGGGTTTATGGTGCAGGCTCGTGGTGCCAAGGCTGTGTTTGGGAATGAAAGGGAGATGAAATGGAGACATTTGTAAGTAAACTGGTCTCCATCACATTGAGCTATTGTACACAGCAGGCACTGCTGAGCAGCTGCCACTGCTGTGTGTTTGACAGGCTGTCTCCTGTGCTGCTGTGCCACCTGGGAGCAGTGCAGGCACCTCATCATCTGCATGGAAAGCTTGAATAATTTGCCAAGGATGTTTTTCATATGACAACTTCCTAGAAAATCTACAGCAAAGCAACTGTTTCATGTATAACCTATTCCTGTTGCTCAGCTGCTAAGCTGTCTTGTTGGCTGGGATTCCATTCTCCTGCATTTCAGGTGTTCTGCTGGCCTGTGATCCTTCTCCAGGCCCAGGGCATCTGTGACTGGCACTGGCCTTAAACTGGTGGCAGTGGGATAGACTAAGGATCCCCTCCCTCAGCAACTCTAGTCTAAAGCCCTCTTTACTATGGCCAAAGATGTTCTTCCCTGTTTCTGAGATGAACCCCATCAGTCCCTTGGAGACCAGGTAGACCTCTCTAGAGAGTGGTTTGGGTCAGCAGATGGTGCCTCCCTGCCTCTCAGAAGAGTCTCCCACCACTGTCCCCCTTTGCTGCTTCTTGTCAGCACTGGTTGGTACATGGGGAGCCCAGGGGGCCTCACTTAGCTCCAGCAGCTTCCCTGGTGCAACAACTGTGTCCCCTTTCAGTCTGCAGAGCTGTGAAGTGGTTCTGCAGGGACACCTCAGGCTCTGGGGGACGTCTCTTCCTCCTGCTGGTTTCTGCCTTGGAAAGCTTCCAGTCCTCCTCTTCATTACTGGCCTCCCTTCATCACAAATTGTAAATTAAAAAAAACCTCCACTGAGCTCAGTAAAGTTAACCGCTGTGTCTAGTACTAGTGGATTTTCAGGACAAAATCTGACCTTTTTGGAACTAATTTTAAAATAAGATCACATTTTAGGTTGGTTCAGAGCCATCAGATACAGATATAAATATGACTATATAAATATAAATTACTAGAACAATCATTTGTTCTCAGAAGTAAAATTATTGTTTTGTAGGGATGTTTAATTCAAATGATCTTTTTTTCTAGACTGAATCTTTTAAGTCCTGGTCTTAGACCACTGTGAAATTAAAATTGTTGCTCCAGGTAGGGAGGAAGACATGAAAAATAGTGGTAAACCTGTTTTTGAAGTTATTTATGGTAGGTGTTGGAAGCTGCTGGCTGTCCTGAAGTGTTGGCAGTACTTGGGGAGCTTGAATAAGCAGAAACTCAGATTTCAAATTAAGACCCTGGAAAAGCAATTCATTTAAGCAGGTGCTCCTGTCAAATTAACTTCAGTGGAGCTCAAATGTATTTAAATGCTGTGTACAATAGTGCACTTTCATCCAGAAGCATTTAACTCATTTGATATATCAGAAGAACATGTTCTGATGCTGAATTATATCTATAAAATAGTATATACACACAAAATGTACACATTTGTTAAGAGCAAGCAAAGGGCTAAATTCTGCCAGATGCCAAGCTAAGGCTGCAGAAGACTTACTTTGACTTCATTGACAAGTGTGGTTACTGCCCCTGAAAAGGTAGATGGCACTTGGAAAGTCCTTTCATTAACATACTGTGACTTAATTGTTTTATATTTATACTGTCTTGGGACATGTTTTGCAGGATCAGGGAGAAGAAAAGCACAATGAACGAGTCAGTGTGCAGCAGCTTGCACAGTGACAACAGCAAATGAACATGGAATAGAGATCAGAGAGCTGAGGTGAAGAGGCAGGCAGGATGGTGTATGTGGCTTTCAGAACAGTGGCAGCTCACTGGGAGCAAGAGGTGGGTTCATGAGGAAGGACATGAGAATGCCAAGAGTCTGCAAGACAAGCAGAGAAGACACACAGACCCAAAGCACTCAGTGGAGCTTCAGCCTTGTCCTGCTGGGCATCAGCAGTGAACCAGCTCTCACAAGCTCCAAAGGTGTGGGTGTCCATGGGCTCCAGTGCCCCTGGCAGCCCTCAGAGCCCTGCAGGGCACAGGCAGGGCAGCCAGAAGGGTGTGCACAGGAGGGGGACTGGGAACAGCTGCCATGGGGCTGCTGCTCCTGCCTTGCCATGGCAAAAAGGTTTAGGAGTGGAGAGGAGTTGTGACACTCAGAGGAGAGACTTTAATAGTTTGGGATATATCATTGAAATATCACTCCTGCCACACATATCTATGTCTGCAGGGATTTCCCTCAGTTTCTCACTCAGTGCAATTTCCTCTGGTCACATTACTGCTGAGGTTGATTTGTTTTTTAATTTCTCATGGTGAGATTGTGCCTGTTTCATTGTCACAGTAGTTTGTGGTGCTCAACTTATGCTTCATTTCTTAATTTCTTTTGTCAAACTCCCTATTTAATGCAAGTGAAAAAAGGGTATGCAGTGTCTGCAGCAGCAGGAATCCTGCTTCTCAGAAGAGAGCTTGAGACAAGCTGTCCTGTTGGGGGGCAGGGAGGGCAAAACCAGCATGGTGCATTGGCATGAAAATAGCACTGGTCAAGGGTACAATGGAGATTGACAATTTTAAAGCACCTTTCTGACTGAAGCAGAAGGTCTGACTTAGGTGCAGATGGCAGCTGGGCAGGTCTTGTCTGGAGCTCTGTGTGAGTGACATGGGCAGAGTCATGTCCAATGCTCTCCCTCTTGGAAAGAAGTATTGAAGAAACAGGAGAGATCTGAGAATCAGTTTAGGGCAGGAGAAGGATAACACAGTAGCAAAACTTGCAGACATGAAATGGAAAAATCCCGAGGCCAGGCATGATGTGCCCTGTGGAAGCTTTTCTATCAACAGTGATTTGGGTCATTTATAACCTGGCATTGGAAAAATGTCAGGGTTTTAACTCTGTTCTGTGCTTCAGTGGTGGAAAGTGTGAATTGTTCTGATTGAACAAGACAGACAAGCGAAGGGAAGGAAAAGGTACTCCTGGAGCATGTGTGTGCTTCTGCACCCACCCCTGGTCCCCAGATCTTTTGACACTGCAGTGTAGCAAAGAGTGCCTGTTGGGAGCAAGCTCCTTATCTAGGGGAGACTGAGGTGAGACATGAGGAGGAAATTGTGGAGTGTGAGGGTGGTGAGAGCCTGGCCCAGGTTGCCCAGGGAAGCTGTGGCTGCCCCATCCCTGGCAGTGTTGAAGGGCAGGTTGGATGGGGCTCTGAGCAACCTGGGCTGGTGGGAGGTGTCCCTGCCCATGCAGGGGGGTGGGACTGGATGTCCTTGAAGGTCCCTTCCAACCCAAACCATTCCATGATTCTGTGATGATCTCCTGAAGAGCTTTCCTGAGCAGGATGTGCCTTTGGTGATTTCAGGCCTAGGAGCCATACTGGGAAGTCTTGACCTGGCTGTGTGCAGGAGGGGCAGGCACACAGGAATGGGAGGAGCAGGTTCAGGAGCTGGAGTGCAAATGGAGATGACAAGTGGCAGGGAATTTGTAGCTCTATGAACATGCCTGTAAAAATCAATGCATCAGTTCTTAAATACATACCTGATAGAAATATCCAACCAGATCTATGCGTTGCTGTATCAAACTTGCTTGCTCTGTATTGCTCCCTTGTGGAACAAAACACTTCACCTGCTCATCATTAATTCTGCTGCATAACCTTTCATTTATGCAACGAAAATAGGCAGATCTTTTCAACAGCATTTAAGACTGACAACCTTTGCTTGCCATTGCAGTTCCTTGTCCTTTATGTTAAATGCATTCCCAAGCCAGATCAAAGATCTGCATAACTTGGAACAGATTTCTACCTTTACAGCTACTGTTTATTTCTTCTAGTTGCTTGTTGGAATCATGGCTCTCCTGAGTGGAATATTAACAATAATGCTTCCAGAAACACTGGGAAAACCATTGACTAACACTTTGGTGGAAGCCACAGAAATGGGAAGAAAGAAGAAAAACTCTTCAGGAAAGACTCCTCCAGCACACAGTGGTGCAACATCAGAGAAGATAGAGATGTTTGGTCAAGAAACCTTCAGCACTGAGAAATAAAGCAACAGCAAAACGGCTCTTCCCAATTTCAATCATTCACTGATTTATAAGATCTTTTTATTCAAGAAATGTAACTGTTCTATAATAGCTGTGCCTTTACTTTGCATCCAGTCTTGCCTTTTCAATAGAGCAAACATATAAAACCTTTGCCACGTGACTGAGCTACTGCAGGAAATTTAATGGGATTTCTAGATTCCCTTGTCAAACTTACCCAGACTTCAGAAAACTCCAACCTGCCTTGCTGTGACCAGTTGGAATGACTACTCCAAGTGCTGGAACCTCCCTGATTACACAGGTGTAGGAAAAAAAAAAAAAAAGGCAAATTCTTTGCTTCAGATTTTCTGCAGTTAAATTTGTAAACCCACCACAAAGTGCCCTGTTGCAGCTGACAGTTACAGGCTGGAGACTCCAGCACACAGTCAACTCAAACAGGTAGTTATAAATCAAGAGAGAAGCCTTAACATCACATGAAGTCATACTAATAAAGTTAAACTAATTTATTCCTTTTTTTAATTTCAAGTTTTCTACTAGGAAAGGTGCCATTGCTAACCAAGTGTTCTGTGGAACAGCTTCTGACTGAAAGAATAATACTAAGTTTGCAAAATGTGCAAATAGTTTGTATACTATTCATTCTGTTGAATGGCAAATACATTTTTATTAGTGGTTTAGAAAAAAAATCTTCACTGGATCTCCTGCTGTCTTAGTAAGTTCTTTTTAGTTTAGGCAAACCTGAAAGGCCTGATGCCTTTGGAAGTCATATTCATTCCAGACCATTATGTCAGGGCTCCCCTTCTCACTTACTTCAGCTCAGATCAAGTACCAGATTCTTCTTAACTTTTAAGGGCCACACCAGCAGATGCCTCCATCAAGGCCTCCTCAGTCCCCAGTGCTAAAGAATGAGTGACATCTGGGTCTTGCTCAGGCTCTCTGCTCAGAGGTGGCCTTAGTTATTAATGAATGTGTAGTAGACATGGGATCTGCATATTTTTTCTCTCCTAGACCAGCTGTCTGTAGCTCGTTTTTTTCCCTTATACCACAGAAAATCAGTTAGAAAGACAATTTAAAAAATGGTAGCTGGAGTGCACAGAACAGTGGAGGAGGAGGAGTTACCAGTTACTCCAGTAGTTTTAGTCCAAGTGTCTGTAAATGTCCCACTGTGCATCACCTTGCTGGTGCAGGGATTCTGCCTGTGGACCACAGGGAACTGACAGGCAGCAATGCATCTTTCTGGCTGCTACTTCTATGGCTTCCTGCCCCACCTCCCCTCTTTCACTCTACTTCCAGACCTGGGAGCTTCTTCCTTACCTGAGGATCTGTAATGTCTTCACTTGGCCACCTTTGGTTTGAGGGGAGCAGCAAAGGAACCTGCATGTGGAGGTTCATGCAGCCCCTCTCTTGCCTGAGCCCTATCATCCCTGGCTTTAAGTCAGAGTCTTCTCATCTTAGACACCTACTTTCATACCAGCTGGTACAATCTGATCAAGAAGACAAGGAGGAATGGTTTTAAGCTGCAAGAGGGGAGATTGAGGTGAGACCTGAGGAGGGAATTCTGGAGTGTGAGGGTGGTGAGAGCCTGGCCCAGGTTGCCCAGGGAAGCTGTGGCTGCCCCATCCCTGGGGGTGTTGAAGGGCAGGTTGGATGGGGCTTGGAGCAGCCTGGGCTGGTGGGAGGTGTCCCTGCCCATGCAGGGGGTTGGGACTGGATGACCTTGAATGTCCCTTCCAACCCAAACCAGTCTGTGAATCTACGACCACAACAGAACAAGGTTTAGGTGTTCACTTTTTTGCCATGTACCCCAAACAAGATATCTGTATCACTGTGGATAAGCATTCTATATGCTCTAGAGCTTAACAATCACTTTTCTCAGTTACATCTGCACAGTCATATTAGTTTCAATTACTTGCAAAACCAGGGTCACTGTTGACATCCCCTTATAAGAGATATTTTTCTTCACTGCATTAGAGTGTCAAGCAGCATTTTGGTCCTGGATAAAATCACATGCTGTGAGGACTAACATGCCTCAAAGCATGCAAAGTTCAGTGAAGTTTAGGCAGTTCCTGTGTGCTACCTACACAGAGAGCAGAAAGGGACCTTCCTGCTCCCTTCAGTTCTCTGAGTGTTCCAGTACTTGCATAGAACAGCTCGGCAGGGCACACACAGGACACTGGCTTCTGTCCAGATGTGTTGGCTCAGCACAAGCATGTGCTTATCAACCTTCCCCGTGTGAGTAATCCCCTGGTTATCCACAGAATGACTGAACTCATGCTCTGATGGCTGAAGATAAGATGACTCACACACCCAGCCCCAGTATTCTTCCACTGCTCTC